ACGCTGGCCTTGTAATCCTGGTGTCTCGGGTTCGATTCCCGGCGGTGCCCGACTTTATAACTTGTGTTGGGCAAGGCCTTGGTCTAGGCAACACGGAGTTTTCCTCCGGGGGCTTCCCCGGTTTCTCCGTGGCATTCACACACAGAAGAAGGCAATGGCAAACCACTTCTGGATCATCTGCCAAGAACGTATATGAACAGGTCCCAGTCCGAGAAGAGAAAAGGATGGAAGGATCCTGTTCATACGGACCTGTCGTCAGACAGAACACTAAATAAAATAATATAAATAACTTAGCTAGCGTTCGAACACTTAAAGAGAACCACCTGATGATGGCCTATTAATGTCGAAACATGCAATGGATCTTAGTAGACATCGAGCCCATAATCACACGCTGTTGTGTTGACGGGCCTTCAACCCAACTTTCGACATGCAGCAGGTGTCTCTCTTGACACTCGTAGCAACTAATTGTCTTAATTATCTTTCGTTGTTACGTAATTTTGACGATTAATTAAAGTTATCGAAACAAAAGAATGTGGTGATCGCGGCGTGCATCTCGCACGGGAGAGACGAGAAATAAGTTACATTTTTGAATGTAACTCAAAATCAAAAAATACTGAAGTATTTAAATTTGATTTCACTTCTCTCCACAACCTGTGCATTTGTAAAGAGAGTGTCGTTACATAAACCAAAAATCATATTTTCCTGTATATACCACAGTCTATTTCGGTGAGTTCGCAACCAAATTATGTGTGAAATTCTTGTCTCCTCTGCAATGGAACTTGTCATCCTTTCCATAAAGTAGATAAGTTCCACATTGAACTGCTCAACAGATATCAAATCATCCGTACGTGACGGAGAACGAGGCGTGCAGTCCCGTGATCTCGGAAACGCTCTCGTTCCTACGCGACGTGCAGATGATGACGAAGGAAGGAACTGAAGACAAGGAATTCGTGACACCAAGGATTGCCTACCCGCGGATCCCACAGGACATTCTTTTTGCTATTGGCGGATATCGTTACGGAAGCCCGGAATATGAGATTGAAAGGTCCCTGTCAGATGTGATCGAAGCTTACGACACACGAGCAGACCGGTGGAGTGTGGTGAGTTGCACGCATCTATAATTTTACCGTCCCTTGTTAAATGACGCCACCGAAAAACTAACTTGTTTGTTGCTTATTTATGCCAAGTAATTGTTTATTTAAGCTTACTCACAGGCACCTTTTTGCGTCTTTATTTCGTGTTCGTTTATTTTCATTGCAGTGAACCCTTTTTTAAGAGAAGCTCCAAATACATGAATTAAAAATAATAAATACATAATTTACACATGTGCTGAGTCTCATGTAAAATATAAGTCCTAATAGGACTCGACGAATGATACGAAGTTTGCCTTAAATACCATTTACGATAAGCGTCCAACATCAATTGATTTTAGACATGAAACGAAGTCTTCGTTGATCGTCAGTGGATTTCAACGTAATAAATGAAGCACCGATCAATGTCGATGTTGGTTATCTGCGTGGTAACGCCTCGTGAATTAGAAGGCTGACAGACTGTTTGGTGTTGGAGTGGGGGACGTACTGCCTCCATCTCTGCGTCGATAAAACCCAAAACACCAACATCTGTCTGTACCATCATACTAAAATGAAATGTCAGTTATTGATCATAAATTCTGCATTTGTCTGTCGTACTAGGCGAGAGCATTGGCGATGTTGAAGATTACTATCCGGGTCTTCCTGTTTCCTCCGTCTCTCATAATTCCACCTTTGATCCAAGTTAATTTCTCGTGGTATTTGTCGAGTGTAGAAACTTCGGTTCACTGTTGGGGGTTGCACCTCTGCTCCGGTGGTATTTCGCTTGGGATTCGCATTAGTAGACGTAATGACCCAAAGAAACATATAACCATAACCTATCGTTCCTGCAGGTGGAGGGGGTCGACTCGATCGGACCGCGAGTCTACCATGGCACGGCAGTAATCGGTTTCGACATTTACGTCATCGGTGGTTACGACGGCGAGGAAGTCTTAAAGCTCATGTAACTGCTTCAACGCTGTTATGAAGACATGCCGCGAGGTGGCGCCTATGAATACCCGAAGGTAAGATGCAGATCGGTAACTAAGGAACTCCTTGGAGCGGTTTCCTTCTTCAAAAGCTGATAGTCGCCCTGTTAGTCTAGATATAAATATGGGCAGGGACTGTAAAATTGTACCACTCACACACAGGAGGACATTTGCGACAATGCTGGTCGTAAGTCAAACACGAATAAAAGCCAATCACAGACTTCGTTCGTAGATTTTCCAGGTTTGATGATGAATATGATTTGCTTGTTAATTCTTTTGAATTACGATTTAACAATGACGAACGAACAATTGCGTTCTGCGAGAGGAAATGCATCTGAATCAGAAATAAATGAGCATAGCAGAGCGTGTACTTTTTTTCGTTTCAGATGCAGTTTAATTGCGGCAGTTCTGCGAGGTGCAGTGTACGCCGTGGGCGGTGGCATTGAAATTGAGGAACTCAGAACGGCGGAAAAATATGACCGCAAGACGAACCAGTGGTCTTCGATCGCTCCTATGAACTTAAACCGATGGGATGCAAGTTCGGCTGTGCTGAATGGTACGTAATTCCTGTGAAACCAAAATTTGTGAATTAGTGCAGAAGGCGAGGCGTCTGTCTGTCTGTCTGTCCGCGTGTAAGAACGCAAGAAGGGTTGAAGGAATCGCAGGATTTGAGGTTCTCACGG